AAACATAGGATGGATGGATGAAATTTATTTATAAGAATTTTAAGATCTTCTAAATGGGTATGGTACCCATTTAGGTTCCATTGAATAATATAATTAAAAATAGTTTACTTAATAAGTCTCCGCAGAGGAATCGCTAGGATCATCGGTAGAAGTATTACTTAAAATTTGTTCTGTAATTTTGTTTTTAATTCTAGAACAACGGGATTTAGGATATCTTGGACTTAACATAAAATGTATTTGCTTTAGAAAGTCTATCAATCCTTCGATATCCTCCGAGTAAGTTCTGGAGACACTGAGAGGATCTGAAGAACCATGAGCATTTTCAAAAGAGTCAATAAGTTTTTCCTGTGTTAAGTATTTATTGTTGGAGTTTTCTTTGAAGCATTGACCGGTGCATTTGGTAAGATCTTCTACTAGGTTTCTGTTGTTTTGTTGTTTTATTATTGGGTTTTTGGTTGTTTGCTTAGTGGCTTTGGCTCAGCAAAGGCATTTTCGTTATCTCTTATTAGAGGGGATATTATTCTAGATAGATTTTGTTTACCGTGCTGGGATGAGGATCTATGTTGATTAAAGGTATCTATTTGAGTATCACTGGGTAGGCTGCAGCTTATTGGAGTGTGATTATTTGAGTGAGAGGTTATGATATTTCTAAACGCTTCAGCCTCAATAACATAGGATTGTGTAGAGGAATTTATCGACAAAGGAGCTGATTTTTGTACTGTAATTTTAGTCTCAATAGGAGAGGATTGTGTGGAAGAAATTGGCGAAAGGAGAACTGATTGGTATACTTTCTGTAAAGAGTATAGATAAACATTATTTGGTTGTTGTTTGAAGGAGTTTGATTATTTTTATATAATACTATATGAGTTCATATAGTATTATATGAACACTGAGCAAAATCTCAGTGTTCATATATGCATGCACTTGCTGCTTGTATAAGTAGCAAGATTGCTTTAACAATCTTGCTGTAAATTAACATAGAATGAGGTAATTTGCCTAAGTTAGTTCTTCTTCTTACGGTGCCCTATCTTTAAGGACGTTGGCCATTACATTTGCCTATTTAATGTTATTTGTAGCAGCCCTGAATAGTTCTATGGAAGTCATGTTCGTCCATTGCCGTAGGTTTTTAAGCCAAGAGTTGCGTCTTCTTCCTGGTCCTCTTTTACTATTGACTTTGTCTTCGATTATAAGTTGGAGAAGTTTATACTTTTGTACAGTAGTTTCAAACATGTTCTACCATCCATCTATTAATAGAGTACCGGCATGTAAGTAATTTTATTTTATTTCATTTATTTATTTGCTCATTCATTAATTTATTCCAATAGAAGAGATTTTATGACAATTTGTGGGCCTTACCTTGTCCTTTTAACTTTTTTAAAAAATATTTATACCTTTTATTCAACTCAATCATTTAAATAAAACCACAGACAGGTAATATTGGCATAATTATTGTAATTTATAACATCTAATTTGTTTATCTTTATTAGACAACACCCTAATATGGGTTTTTATCATTTCAGCATTTGTTTAACTTTGTACCGAGACCTGAAGATGCTTTGCATATTGTAGAAAGCGAAACCGGTCGTCGGATAGTTAAATTAAATTGATTGTGAGTAAGTCTGATTTATTATTTCTTTACCTATTTGAAATGGACTCACACAAGCAACAAATTCATGATTTTTATACTTTTGATTTCTTATAATGTGACCAAAATATTGTGTTTTCCGTTCTTTTATTATAAGCATAAGCTGTCTTTCTAAGTTAGTTGGCGCTGTAAAAGTGTATCGTCGGAAACTCAAGATATGCTTGACTGCTGGATTTGAAGTCCCTATCCTAAGAAAGTCTTTTGTTATTAGATGTATGCTTAAGTTTTTCAGTTGTTCTTCTATTACGCTGTGCCGCATACTTGAACATACGTTGGAAATAATCAATCGTTCACTTGGAGTTATTAGTCTTCATGCTTAAATACGTTCTTAATTAATTGCTACAATTCCATTGTCGTTTACTAAAACTCATCGACTGTCTGTTCACTGGTAAAGAAAATACAAATACGATTATTTAAAATTTTAGAAATAGAATGTATTTTTCTGAGATCTACTTTAGAAGTTACTGCATTAAGATAAACATCGATGTTAGAGTTTGGCAGTGAGTGAAGTAGAATTGTTTGGAAATTTATTTGTAGGTTTATTAAGAACTGAAGAATATAATTTTGATAGTTGGTTTACAAGTAGATTGCCAGAACTTTCCATGGTGGAAGGTCCCGCTGCTGAATCCAATTCCATACTTGGGCTAAATAACCTGCATACGGCTCTGGTGCTTATAATGATGAATGGTGGAGTGATGGAGATGAAATTAAAAATCAAACTTAGTTTTTATTTCAGAAGAAGTAACACTTTTACACTGCACCTTGGTTTAAATTTGAGATATAAACAAAAGTCTACATTTTAATCCAAAAATGTCTTATTTTGTCTAAACTAACAAGCTAATATTAAATATCAATTATCGCTAATTTCTGATATGTTTACTGTTCCGAGGTTCGATCGAGAATCGATATTACTCTGTAAGATTTTCCTGTTCTATTCTGGGTCTTTTTTGTTCCTTTTCAAATATTTTAATATCTTTTTTATTTTTTATTTAATTTTTACTGGATTTCAGTTTTAATTAAGTTGAATTTTTCATTTTATTGAATTCTTGCCCTAAAGAATCCCCTAGGGTATAAGCGATGATTATATGAATTACATGTCTATCTGAAAACAGGGTTTTAAACAATTTTATATCTCTTAAACTCACTTATCCAGTATATGTATATTTTACAACGTTTGAGTATAACGTTATACTTTTATGACGAGACACTTTTTTATGTATATTTAAATAAAAAAATATGAGTCCGACGGAAAAATGTGGTAATCCCATGAGACATTACATAAAGGTGTGTTCATAAATGTTCCTCTTTTCGTCAGACTGACAACCAATAAGTGGACGACGTTTTTACATTTTCACGTCTGTGGTAACGCTATATGATTTTTGTTTTTGGTTTTGATATCTATATTTCAGATATATTTTTTATTGAAACTGATATTTACAGGGCTATTAAATTCTGCGACAAAGTCCAATATACAGGTTGTTACAACTCATTTTAAAACAAGTCGTTAACAAAAATTGTGTACTTTAAAGTTCTGCTTACATATTATTCTGTACATGTAATTATTTTAAAGTATTTCAGAAGTAAGTTATTTTATTTTAGTTGCTTATAAGAATTGATATCTGTTGTTCTAAATAACCCCATAATTTAAAGCATATTTAATGCAATCTAACCAATAAGTTGATATTTAATATCAACTGTTGCAACGTGGGAATAAATATCAACTGTTGCAACTAATTATGCAAGGAAAGATTGAAGGTAGGCGCAGCATAGGTAGGAGAAGAATGTCATGGTTGAGAAACCTCAGGAGTGGTTTGCTTGCACTTCCATACAATTGTTCCGAGCGGCAGCCTCCAGGGTCAAAATTGCCATGATGATAGCCAACCTTCGTAGCGGAGATGGCACGTGAAGAAGAAGAACCAATAAGGTTTATAAGAAATTAGAAAGTTAGTTCACCTTAGTTTTGGAGGACGTTTTTAAAAACCTAAATTGGAAATATAAGGGAATAAACATCAATGGCCGCTACCTCAGTAATCTACGATTTGCAGATGACATAATCCTGATAGCTACTGACCTACAAGAAATGCAAACCATGCTTGTAGAACTTCATACCGAATCTTCTAAAATAGGACTGAAAATGAATTTAAACAAAACAAAAGTCATGCACTCCGAAGACACCGTGACAATAATAAACGATAAAGTTATAGAAAAAGTTGGAGGATATATATACTTGGGACAAAAAATAATCCTAAATAGGGAAATTCAGACTGAAGAAATAAAAAGAAGAAGAAAGTTAGCTTGGGCAGCATTCGGTAAACTGAACTATATACTCAGAAATCAACAAATTCAATTACATCTTAGATCTAAAGTTTTTGATGCATGCATTATCCCGATATTAACTTATGCGGCACAAACATGGACAATCACAAAAAAGAATATGAATATACTTAGAGTCACTCAACACGCGATGGAAAAAGCAATGCTAGGTATATCACTTAAGGACAAGAAAACAAACACATGGATAAGACAGAAAACCAAAGTCACCGATGTGGTGCAAAAAGCATTAAAGCTGAAATGGGAATACGCTGGACATGTAGCTAGGAGCGATCTAAACAAATGGCACAGATCAATTTTAACCTGGAGACCATACCAACACAAAAGACCCAGAGGCAGACCTCCTATGAGATGGACAGATGATCTGAAAAGGACTGCCGGGAAAAATTGGCTACAAGTAGCGTACAATAAAAAACAATGGAAAGGAAGACTTGAAGAGGCTTATGTTCAGATGTGGACGTGAATGGCTAGACGAAGAAGAAGAAGAAGAAGAAAGTTAGTGTTAGAACATCAAGCCTGGAAAGGAAGACCAACGAATCTATAAGAAATATCATAAATGCTACAGAAGCGGTCATTGGCAGAATAGAAAGAAGAGGTTTAAAATGGTGGGACACCTATTGGAATACCTGACGAACGTTGGCAACAAAAACTTCACAGATGGAAGCCCCCTGGAAAAAGAAAAAAAAATAGCCCTCAAAGCTCATTAAATGAAGGAATTAGAAGAGCAATGGAATAGAGAGGTTTCGAGGAGGAGTTTGGACCGGGGAACAAAAATATCAATGGCAAGGATAAACGTTTTATACAAAATATTTAGCAGTCTTTGAGGAGTTTTATTCTTTAAAAAATATTTATATTAATCTAATCTAAAAATAGTGCAATTTCGTGATATTTCGCAGATTTAAAATTCGTTTGAATTATTACCGCTTTAGGGCGATCCATTTTGAAATAATTTAGTCTTAAGGTAATACAAAGAGGTTAGTCAACAAGTGGTGGTTCAAATAATAATTAGCCAATAACAATAAATACGTTTTTTTAAACTGTTTTTATTTACATAATTTATGATTTTTAGTTTTGGTACACTTTATCGGCTTCTTCTAAAATAGTTAAAAGGGAATCCAGTACTTCTAGGGAATTAGGTATAATTTGTTCTGGTGGTAAAATAAATCCATATCGTCCTTGATCACGAAGTTCATATGCATATGCGAATGGTACATGGTAAACTCCTTTAACCCAATCCATATTTGATCCTGTGGCTATGCCTTAAAAATATTTAAAATAACATAGGCAATGTTAATAAAAAAATAAAGCTGTATTAAAACGTTTTAAATGGTTTATTAAACCTTTAAAGCAGAATTTATCAAATGTTTGGTTGCGAATTAGATAAACATATCACACCTATTTAACAATTATTTTATAAACTTTGATGGTACACAAGGCAAATATCGAACACAGTATTTAATTAAATCTTGCCCAAGTACTTTCGATCACAAGATCATCTTCAGGGGCATTTCGTCAATTGTGGCCTATCCAGCAATAACAGAATGTCATAAATGTAAACTGGGACATAACAAATACACTAAACAAAGACCAACAAACACTTTAAAATTTAAATTGGAGAAGCTACATTTTTATATTATAGAAGCCGGAGACAGATCTGAAATTGATTCTGTCTCTGGCTTCTATAATATAAAAATGTAGCTTCTCCAATTTAAATTTTAAAGTGTTTGTTTGTCTTTGTTTAGTGTATTTGTTATGTCCCAGTTTACATTTATGACATTCTGTTATTGCTGGATAGGCCACAATTGACGAAATGCCCCTGAAGATGATCTTGTGATCGAAAGTACTTGGGCAAGATTTAATTAAATACTGTGTTCGATATTTGCCTTGTGTACCATCAAAGTTCATTTATTCGAACATTCAACCTTATATTGAATTATTTTATATTATATGATACCCATGTTTAACTGTAAACCTTTAAGGGTATGTTTATTTTAAAATTGGTAAAGAATTCTGAAATATAATTATTGTGGTGTAAATACTTACCAATACCTGACTCAACAATATCTCCAACATAGTAGTCAGTTCCGTATCTTTCAGCTAACGCTTTAGCACCCTTTACCGCTACTGGATACTAAAATATATACAATTATCTATTATTTCTAATTTTATTTAAAAAACGTCACAAATAAAACAAATTAAAGAAAGCATAGAAATTAGAAAATAATGGATAAACGGTAGATACGAGTTTGAAGATCGCTATCGTAAAATGAAAACGCAAGCAAAGATTTACTAGGATGAAAAATAAAACAAGGTTACGAAAATAAATTTAATAAACCAGAAACCCATCACAACCAGTCAAAATTTGCAAATTTCTATTTAAAAATACGAAAGGAAAAAGACGGTTTTAAAGTAAAAATCACCAATATTAAAGAAAAACAAAGAACACTTTTTTAAACTGATAAACTTCCAAAAAGCAGAAATAGAGGTTACTGACACATATACCACTGCTAAGGAATAAATATCACAAACAATACTTGACGAAGGATATGAGAGAATAAGAGTTTTGAAAAACCATAAAGTTTGACTGTAATAAAATATCGACAGAACTTATAAAAAGGGGTGGGGGGAAACTCGCAATAGAAAGACATTCTTTTATTGTAACAATATGGCAAGAGGAATTATAGGGAGAAAAGGCTAGATGTGGCTATCCCTACAGTTAGGTAGCATAACCACAGTCAATAAAAACAGAGAGTGTCTCATTACCCAGGGTAACTAACAGGCTGGCTTGCTAACCTAAGAGCATGGTATTCGTATAGCAACCAACAAAGTCATCATAGCCAGACTGATAGCCAACGTTTGGAACGGACAGGTACCCTAAGAAGAAATCTGTGCGATCCTGCTATTGTGTTAAAATTTTCATCTCCAAATATTACATTTAAGCTTCTCATAGATAATAGACCTTTTTAATTTCATGAGACACATACACAAAGATTGCACTAAGATCAAAAAAATGTAATGTAAAAATGTTTTAAAAAAATCTACAGATAGTTTATGCTTGGAATAAAGATTTTAGTAGATATTAAATAATCTATATATGATAAGAAACACATACTTACAGTTACATTGTAATTATCTAAATGATCACTTGTGTAACCATAAGGCAAAAGAATTAATTCAGAAAATGAATGGAATGTTATAAAAAGTAATAGTTCATCCACTACTGTACTCATGTATTCAGATAAGGTTTTTGTTTCAACTTCAGAGAATGCGGTAGGCCCAGCATATGTTTCATCGCATGGATCGTCAGTCGATCCACCTTGATTCCATTTGAAATCCCAGTTCCGGTTAGGATCAGCACCTCTACATTCTTGTCCTTTTCCATAATCAGTACGTGTTTTTCTCCACATACGGTCCTACGAAAGAATAAGTATCAAAATATTTTAAATAAATAATTTCTTATTTTTAATTCGAATTAAACTGGTTAGGAGTATAGCTCATGTCAATTTAATCTTTACAGCTCTAATGTAGTTTTTTTTTAAATATTTCTGTATTTAATATTGTATAAAACAGGATGGAGTATTAATATAATTTATCGTGGCTAAATGGATCAAGCATTCCGAAACAATTAATACAATTTTCTTACTGTAGTATGAGTAAATTCAAATCCGTCTGGATTAATGACTGGGAAGATATACCAATCATGGCCTTCCGCTATAGCTCGTATTCTGGGATCTTCACTGTGCAATACTTCGTTTAGAATATAGGTTGTAGTGGCACCGGAAATCCTAAAATAGGTTAATAGTGTATAATATCTAATAATATCGTGTAGTAATATTATATTTATTTAAAACACGCGTAATAAACTACTTAAAAACAAGTATAAAAGCATTTGTGCTACATATTAAAATTTATTTAAAATTAAAAAATGATCACATAATAGTCATTTATTATGATAACGATAGCATTTTGTATTCTTCACTCGAAAATAGTAACATATTTATTTAGCATAGAGAGGCATTAAGTACGTCGTAACAGAGCAATGATAGTCATCCATGATACTATAACAACCAGATATGCTCACTTGCTGTTTTAATTTTAATTGACTTTGCGCATGTCGTCATAGCGAGACAAAGCCAGGGGACTTGTACTGTTAACGGTAAGTATAACTCAATGCCATATTTTACACTTTCTTTTCTTCTTCTTTTGGCATCATAACCCTGGATGGGTCTTTGCCTGTCTAGCTATGTCCTTCCATTCAGATCTCTCTTGTGCCCTTCTTCTCCATTGTCTTATGTTCATTGTTTTCAGGTCGTCTTCCACGTCATCCAACTATCTGGTTCTGGGCCTTCCTTTTTTTCGCCTTCCTATGGGCTTCCATTGTAACATTTTCTTTGTTGTTTTTGCATCGTTTTGTCTCTGCACATGTCCCAGCCATGACAGTCTTGCACTAATAAGTCATAACTAGTTACTTTCTGTGAAAACGTGTTTTGAAAATTAATAAGTAATTTGTAAAATTAATTAAAGAAATATATGAATCTACGATTTGATTGTGCTTATTACAAACAAAATACATATTGCTACAACATATAAATTAAATATAAAAGGCCGGCAAAATGTAAAGAATTTTACCATATAGGAAAAGGGGGTCAAACTTGAGACTTTATGAATATCATTTAGACATTTATTTTACAATCTTTGTGATTTTTCTTTTGCGGTATTCAATTATCTTTAATATTTTCATTTAGCATTTGTATTTTAAAATACATCCTACATCTAAAAAAAAGTAATTTTACATATTCGCTAACATTTACATATTTTGCAGCTTCTATTAAGTTTTAAATAAATTAGAATTAAACATAAATATAAACAATTACATAACCTCACAAATCATATGTATGTGTTAAGTGTTCCCTTCTAAAACATGGCGCACGTGCTGAAAAACTTCAATGGCGACATCTGACAGTGGGCATTCTGATTATTTATTATTCTGTGACATAACCCAACTAAATTTGATTTCTTAAATAAAGAAATACTCTCTTTCCTTGTTTAATGTGGCCTCTCAAGATGGCACTTCCTGTCTAACAATATTTTTGCCCCCACTGCCTTTACATTTCCTCTTTTGTCTTTTTGCTCGATGGATTAAAGTCTTCGTGAAAGAGACAGGCTGTTATTTCTCTTTATTAAATGCCTGTGATCAAAGTGATGGGGGAATGTTACAAGGTCATGCATATACCTATGAGCGAATAAAGTTCATCCAGTTGTAAATTATTTCGGTGAAATTTTTTGAAATACCTTTTTTTTAAGTACGTGGAACTCCACCGGTTCCGGATTAATACTTACCATTCTCTTGCGTGAATCTGCGAATCTAGCCATACACTTCGTTTGCCTTCTTTTGGTCCAAAACTTACTTTCACGCCTATTATGTCTCGGTTTTCATAGGACTTTCCACCTTTAATTAGAGTGACTTTATCGGGATGGTCGTTTGCTAGTTTTTCCAACCAATCGTTTATCTAATAAAAAATATATTTTACTAATAACAAAATATTGCAATGAATCGGTTAAATTGGTATTATTACAGTACCGTTAGAAAATTACGTTCCTTGTTTCGAAACGTTGCGTTGGTTAATATTTAGTAGTATGTGCAAAAAAAAAACAGTATTAGTATATTCAATCGACTAATAGAGCATTATTTTATCAACAACTGCAAATATGTAAGCTTTTAACTTAAATTTTTATTTTAACGGAACATAGAATTTTTAATACAATAACTACCCCTTAGTTCAACCTCTACTCAAGAACTGCTCTCCTACAATCTCACTTCACAGCACTTACAAGATATCGAAAATATTATTTCTCCTTTCTCACTGGCTAAACTTACATCTGCCTTATCCTCGTGCAAAAATATTTTCGACGGTCCTGGTGATATCCCTTATATTTTTCTTAAAAACCTACCCAACCGCTGCCTCACTTTTCTGTTGGACATATATAATTCTATCTGATCTTCTCAAATATTTCCTACTCAATGAAACACATCGGTAATTATACCTGTCTTAAAACATTTCGATCCGATTCGGTCCGATTTCTCTCACTTTTCTTCTTCTTCATGTGCCATCTCCGCGACGGAGGTTGGCAATCATCATGACTATTCTGATCTTAGATGCTGTTTCTCTGAATAGTTCAATTAATGTGCATCCGTACCATATCTTCAAGTTACGCACCATGAGATTCTTCTTCCTACTCTTTTCTTGCCTTGGATTTTCCCTTATATACTCAATTGAAGTAGGTTGTATCTCTCAGTACGCATAACATGCCCCAGGTATTGAAGCTTTCGTATCTTGATGGTTTCCAATACTTGCATTCTGTTGTTGATTCTTCTCATGACTTCGTTGTTTGTTACATGCTCAGGATTCTTCTGTACACCCACATTTCAAATGCTTCCAACTTTAGCAGTCGACGCGTTAAGTATTCATGCTTCCATCCAATAAAGCAGAGTCGAGAAAATATAACACCTTGCCAGCCTAACTCTCAAGTCCAATTTTAGTTCTCTTTTACAAAGTACCTTTCTGATTTTATTAAGTCAGACTTTCACCATTATTTTGGGTTTTTGATATCCTCATAAATTTGGTTTTCTTGGTGTTTATTGATAATCCATATTCTTCTTCATACTCAACTATCTCGTTTATTGGCTTTTGGAGGTCTTGGAGGTTGTCTGCTATTATGATAGTATCGTCCGCATATCTAATTGTTGTTATCATGTTGTTAATTGGTGTTGCATTGACCTTGATTCCTGCTGTTTCTCCCTCAAGAGCTCTTTTCATAATTTCTTCAGAGTATGCATTGAATAGTAGTGGTGACAGTACACACCCCTGTCGCACTCCTCTTTTATCTTCGAACTCTTCTGATGCGTGTTCATTAATGCGTACGTGTGCCTGTTGTTTATAATATAGGTTTGTTATAATTCGAACGTCATTAAGTTGTAATTGTTTTGCTTTGAGGATGTCCATTAGCTCTTTGTGGCGAAATTTGTCGAAAGCTTTGTTGTAGTCTATGAAACAGACGTGCATATCTTGGTTCACATCCAAGCATCTCTAGATTAGTAAGTTGAATGCAAAGAGAGCTTCACGGGTACCTACGCTATTACGGAATCCAAACTGAGTTTCTTCAATATCCATATCGAGTGTTTTGTAAATGCGTTTATGAATGATCTTTAAAAACAATTTAAGTATGTGAGACATCAGGCTTATGGTACGGTGGTCGGTGCATTCTCTAGCATTTTTCTTTTTTGGGAGACAAATGAATATGGAGGTCAACCATTCGTTGGGTATGTCACCCGATTAATAAATTTTATTAAAAAGCTTTACGAGGACATCTATATACTCATTTTCTATTATTTTAAGGATATCAATAGGCAGTTGATCTGGCTCCGGGCTTTTTCCGTTTCTGTTGTTCTTTAGTGCATAAAGTCTTTCTTCCTTTGTAATTTCTACATTTGTTTCTCCGTTCTCAAAAGACAAATCTTGTAGGTTTTCTCTTTCGTCATCGAAGAGCTCTTCCATATACTCTTCCCATCGTTTTATTTTTTCGTCAGTCGTTATCATAGTATTTCCATTTTTATCTAAAAGAGTTGTGTTGTGGTTTCTTTTTTGCAGCCCTGTTATTTCTTTAACCTTTTTATGTATGTTGAATAGGTCGTATTTGTTCTGAAGATCATCTATCTCTATCTCTTTAAATGTTCCTCATAGTAAGTTTGTTTTGTCTCTCTTATCTTTTTTCTGATTTCATTGTTAACGATTTTGTAATTGTGACTGTCTTTGTTCTTGGCTTGTCTTCGTTGTTTCATTATGCCGAGTATCTCGTCGGTCATCCAATTGTCTTTCTTTCGTGTGGGTTCTTTTAATATCTCTTTGCATGGAGCGAGAAGGCAGTCACCGACATCGTTCCATAAGCGATAACCTCGTCCTCCTTCATACCCACATCGCCATAGATATTAATAACAGTCAAAAAGTGATTGCCTGAATTTTTAATATAGAAGCTGCTTTCGATAAAATATCTAGACAGATTATTCTCGATAAACTATTATTATACGCCCTCAATGGAAATATTTTTAAATTAATCAAGCACTTTCTTAGCTCTGGATCCTTCAAAGTCTCTATCTATCTAAATGGTTGAATATCATCACCCCACATCCAACAAGTCGAAGTCCCTTAGGGCTCTGTATTAAGCACCACATTGTTTATTTTATCGATTACCCAAATCTGCCACAATCTTCCCCCCCCCCAGTCAAATTTACTACATATGATGACCTTGTAATTTATTGCCATGGTGTTGCGACCACTACTACTCTCCACTGCCCCTGAAATCTTAGTGAATAACCACCCTCTCGCAGTTGTCGATCACCGCAAAATCTAGGACTAATATTTTTTGACTTTGGACTTTGTTGGAAACAAAATATTCAGGAAACTAGAGCAAAGTGCCTAAGACGTTTAAATATTACCAAACCACTTTCCCACTACCAATGGCTAGCGAATGTACACTATTAAAAGTATATAGGATTCTTATTCGATTTAAACTCGATTACGAAAGCTTTCAATGAGAATTGGACAGACATTAAAACAGCGTTAATGAAACCAAGCATAAGTCACCTCCATAAAAGTAAAGAATATAAAAAAGAATGGATGACAGATGAGATACTGAACTTAATGGATAAAAGAAGAAAACAGAAAAACAAAAAGAACCAGAAGTATAAAGAGATACAAAAAGAAATTCGTCTAAAAATACGCACAGCTAAAGAAAACTGGTACGGGGAAAAATGCGAAGAAATCGAACAACTACAAAATAAACACGACAGCTTTAATGCACATCGGAAGATCAAAGAATTGACGAGGAGACAAAGTAACAGACACAACATATTAGTAGACGAGAGTGGAAACATTATTATGGACCCAGAAGAAAAATTAAGAGTCTGGAAACAGTACATAGACCAACTATTTAAAGATCAAAGAGACAATGTAGATAACGAATACATAAACAGTGACACAGGACCAGAAATAACAAGAGATGAAGTGGAATACACGATTAAAGAAATGAGGTCGGGGAAGGCTACAGGCCCAGATGAACTACCAATAGACATAATTAAACTCATCAAAGGCAACAACTTAATAAAGATCGTGGAACTATTTAACAGCATTTACAAATCTGGTATCATACCTAATGAATGGCTAGTAACAACAATAATAGCCATACCCAAAAAGTCTAATGCGAGACAATGCTCGGAATATCGCACCATCAGTCTCATGTGTCATATATTAAAGGTCTTCTTAAAAATCATTCATCGGAGAATATATAAAAAATTGGAACTTGACATCGGACCCTCCCAATTTGGCTTTAGAGACGGACTAGGAACTAGAGAGGCACTGTTTGCTTTTAATGTTCTAACACAACGATGCTTAGACGTAAATCAGGACATGTTTGTGTGTTTCCTAGACTATAACAAAGCATTTGATACAGTAAAACATAGGCCACTGATGCAAATACTGGAAAATAAAAATATTGATACAAGGGACATGCGAGTGATACGGAATCTATACTACAAACAAGAAGCTACAGTACGAATTAACAGCTCGATATCAGATAGAATACAGATCAAAAAAAGTGTTCGGCAGGGCTGTGTGTTGTCTCCAACCTTGTTCAATATCTATGCGGAAGAAGTTATTAAAAAAGCTCTTATGAACGAAAAAGCCGGAATAAAGATCAACGGTCACCCCATTTGCAATATCCGATATGCTGATGATACCGCGCTCATAGCAGAAAATATTGACGACCTACAGAGATTACTAAACAAAGTGGTAGAAGCAAGTGAAGAATTTGGTCTGTCACTGAATACAAAGAAGACCAAATTCATGATAATTACAAAGAAACGTATCAATAATATCAACTTACATGTAGGACAGAATCTCATTGAACGAGTACAAAATTACAATTACCTCGGAACAAATATTAACGAGTCAAACGAATACACCAGAGAAATAAGAATAAGAATAGAGAAAGCCCGCAGTGCATTTAACAATATGAAACAAATGTTGTGTAGCCGTAACCTAAGCCTAAAGCTGAAAATACGAATGCTTAAATGTTATGTTTTCTCGGTCCTGTTATATGGGGTGGAGGCGTGGACACTAAATAAGCAATGTATGGGTAAGCTGGAGGCATTTGAGATGTGGGCGTACGGAAGAATGTTAAAAATCTCCTGGAAGGATAAGATAACTAACCAAGTTGTATTAGACAGGATGAACAAACAAAAGGAGGTCGTATTGAGTGTTAAAATGAGGAAACTACAGTACCTGGGACATATTACACGTGGGAATAAATATCAACTGTTGCAACTAATTATGCAAGGAAAGATTGAAGGTAGGCGCAGCATAGGTAGGAGAAGAATGTCATGGTTGAGAAACCTCAGGGAGTGGTTTGCTTGCACTTCCATACAATTGTTCCGAGCGGCAGCCTCCAGGGTCAAAATTGCCATGATGATAGCCAACCTTCGTAGCGGAGATGGCACGTGAAGAAGAAGAAGAAGACGAAAGTTTTATATATATGTCAGCATCCAAAACATCTTTAAAAACCCTTAATTCGGTACAAAATACTGCTAGTCGCCTTTGTTTAGGAACTTTCTGTAGCAGTCCAGCTGAGAGCCTCTACCGCGAAGCCAACGATCCCCCTCTTTCGCTTAGGCGCCAATATCTCCTCCTTTCTTATGCTGCCTCTACTACAGCTAATCTTTCTAATCCAGTACACACACTGCTGATATTACCAACTATACAAGTACTCACCCTCCTGCTTCACGCATACATACTATCCCCCTCCTACTTCCAACTTTATTATTACATATAAATTTATCCCCAACTAACCCTCTCTCGATTTCGTAAAATTCTCTTTGGACCAAAACTTTACCGAAATTTAATGTGCCACTTTCAAAGTTTGGTAAAGCTGAAACCAACCAGGATTTGATTAGGAAATCCTTACTAGGAATTCCTAATTTTAAGAAATTCGATCGGGTCCTCTACACTGACGCATCAAAGAGCGAAACGGGGGTTGGTTACTAGAGCTCTTACAGCAAACTCCTCAATTTTATCTTGTGGCATTATAATGAAAAGCAAAGGGCAAATGTATTTGATTTTCTCGGCCAGTCATATTCCATAAAACTTTTGCCAAATCGGTCGATACTTTAGGCAAAGATCGGTAGATTTCGATATTATATCATAATATACACCCTGTTAAAGTTTAAAATGACAATTAATAGTTGGAACAATAAATGTATTAAAGTGTAAATTAACCAATTCAAATAATACCTTTCGAACACAAACAAACTTGTTGTTAATAAAACATTATTAGTATCTGCACAAAAATTCAGAAATACGAATATCCCGAACAGATTTTCAGAAAAAAATCGGTAGACGAAACAACACTGTCGGTGTACCTATGCCAAATACGCTGCTACAAATCGCGAACGAGCAGCAATCCAGTGGAATAAACATATTAATTATAAAACATCGCGACGTTGTATTTAAATTTACATTGGTTAATTGCAAATCAAATAAACTTAGTAGTTGACATAAAAACCCTAGTTCCGTTAAAAAATTTCAAAATGTATATACATATATTATACTTATATAATAAAGTGATTTTACTTACTGCTTGCAAATCATAGTATTTATCCCAAGTAAGGTCTCCATCTTTTACAGCTGTGAGCTTGTTGACTCTAAATTCCTCATCTATTCTTTCCTGTATATTATCAGTAATAACTTCAAAATTTATATTATTTTTACCGATAATATATTCAAAGCTGTACTTATCCTTTGGGGAAACTAGCACATTAACAAATTTTCTCCAACTGGATGGCTCATTCCAGAAGTCCAATTTATATTCTTTAGACTTTTGTAAGTTTTGAAGAAATTCTAAATCATTAGTAGACTTTGGATATAGTTTATATAATGTGTAGTTATCATATCTAACTACCGCTGATGAAAACACCAGCAGACTAGCTAGTATATACAATGAAGCAAATTTCATGTTAGCTAAAAGTTTTAACATAATTAAAAGTTTGTAAACAAAAAAGCCCGTTTACTCCAGTATTCAGAGACTAACATGCCACTGCACCTCTAAATATTATACGAACAAGCTAAATTTTGCAAAGAATGTTAATTTTGGTACCATGAAAAATGTACAAGAAAGAGTTTTACTCCGACACCTGGGTTTCACCCTAAAACTCCCCTTGTATGTGGGAAAATACGGAAAATTTGGAAAACATTAAAAACATGCTACAAAAAAGTAAAATAATTTTGAACAAAAATGTATATAAACAACGTTTAAAGCGACCGCTGATTTTAAATAGCAGTTAAGTGCCTAAAATCAATTTTTTAAATAAAATCTGTATTCTAGACGGTAAAAATTCTATATCTTTTGATCAGAGTGTTCTATTGACAAAAATTAAAATGCGTTTTGTTCATAAAACGTTTCTGGGACAATTAAAACCAAGGAAGAACTTATGATCAGCCCAAAGAATACGCAAATGACAATGTCAATGACATATATATGATGAAGATTTGTAATATCTAAAGAAAACAGATAATTTTTTTATTGGATACGAGGGTTAAACTTAAATAAACTAAACACGGAGTAGATTTTTAGTTACAAAAACTTGCCGTTCAAATTATTTGTATAAATTGTATCATTTTTTTGGTGCAACAAATTATTCGGTAAAACTATCACAAGGAATATATAAAATGTATAAATATTTTTCTTACCAGTATTGATAACCTACTTAGATTCTTAAAAAAATGATCCGTTTATATAGCTGAATTCTAAATTTATGGTTCATCTTTACAGGAGATTATTGAATAAGAGATAAAAACATTCTTAAGTGGTGCCCCTTAAGTAGTTCATAAATTAATATGTCGGTATATCAAACAACAATAGTATTAATATATATCTATGATTATACATTTTTTCTTATCTCTATCTATTTTAATACAACTTAAATATCTTTTTGTTTTAATAAACCTTAAATACATTTCTAAAAACATATGTACTTAGTTTCGATAGCCCCCCTTTAAATGATTTGACCTCATTAATAAGGCCTCGTCATTTCTCTCTGCCATGTATCGCTGTTTCGAGGGTTGTATTAGTAATAACCTTATTTTCAGGTCTCTCTTCACATTGTCACCTTAAGTTGTACCGTAAAGATGGTTGTCGAATATCATTACATTTTAGTACATAAAATATTCATGCTAATTTATGGGAACTTACAATACTTTTGTTTGCAAAGGCTGCTCAGTCAGTAATTGTTTTTTGTTCCTCTAAATGTGCCTATCTACTTGTGATGTTGACAACCACATGGCCCATCAAATTCTAGTCACAGTAGCTCTAAACATATTAGTTGACGTTAGTTCCGTCCAATTCGCAATATTAACTAGCCAAAATATGAATGGCTCATTTATGAAAGGCCTCATGTCACTTTTTTCCAAATTTTCGTTTAACTTAGAAAATAATAACCCATATGTTCGCACATCGTTTGCTTATGAAAAGCCTCATGTCTTGTTATTCCTTTATCAGATATATTAGTTTAAAATTATTGTTTATTTATGAAAAGCCTCGTGTCAATGACAAGGGGCTTTTCATAAATAAAAGCAGTGTTGGCAACATTGCGTGGTCAGCTGATGTTGACAGATATTCACTGTTTGGAGATTATTAATTAACCTCTTGTTGTTTTATGTTATAATCAACTGTTAAATAATAAAATAAAATATTTCTTTTCAGTTGCCTACATAGGTTACGACGTAGCGTCCTACGTCGCCATGTTACCAAATGTAACACAACTATAAATTAACCACATTTAACGGGTTTTCACCCATATATTTTAGTGGCTCATAGCATGTATACTTCGTTACAACTGATGATGGAATTAACATTCCGAAAACGTTTTGTAATCATTGTATAGCCCGTTTGGGTATTTTATTATATACTACTACTAAGGATTTCCACAGTTTTCACTGTCTTCCTTCACTCAACCGTTTTCTCCAATTTTTCCTGTCATTCCAGTCTTCATCCCGCAGGGTTCTTTTCTCCATAGCCTCGTCGATTTCGTCTCTGAATGACCTTCGGGTCTTCCTCTCTTTCTTCTTCCGATCGGGCTCCATTCTGTGATTTTGTTAATCCAGCGTCCTCTATCCGCTCTCCTGACGTGGCCGTACCAGGATAGTCTCTTCTCCTCTATATAGTCGATTATGTCTGATTGCACTCCCATTCTCCGCTTAATCTTTGCGTTTATTATTTTATCATTTTATTATATACCTTTTATAAAGGATTTGAAATAAAAAAAATGTAATACATGGTATACAGCCAGCTACAGGATCTTAGTTTATTAGTGGACTTATACCAAATTATTATCTAATCCACTGTCTATTGCTGAGCCATCCTCCCCTTCCTCATTAGCAAGAAAAACTCATGAATCAAAGGTAACAATTCATCAAGAAAAAATTAATGACCTGAAGAAACTTTTGCAGTATGTCCCTCAAAAACACAAGTGGTTTTACAATGAGCTTGCCCAATGGCCTACAGTTGCAACAAAAAAATGAGCAAAAATATATAAAATGGCAATTAAATGTAGCTAATTGTATTGTCTTTGAACTGTCTCTGAACTGTTTTAATAAAGTTATCTTAATTATAAATAAACACGGTATAAATTATCTACCAATCAAAACTTTCGCCGTAAAACAAAACTTTTGTTTATGAAAGGCCTTTTGTTACCTATTTTCAATAATAAAAAAATACAATATTGATTTTAAAACTTGTAATTAACATGATTTATTTTGAGTTTTAAGGTCCTTGAAATGTTTCGAAAAATCAGAAAAGTATAAAATCGTGTTTTCTTGTTTTCTAAAATTTACATTTTTTGACAAGAGGCCTTTCATAAATAAGCGATTCATATATGTCTGCGTCCAGGGCCACTCTTGTCGTCAATCTTGTAGATTCAACTGTAGAAGTCGGTACTTATTACTACGCATAATGTGGTCAAAGTAGTTTTTATTTCTAAAGGAAATATAAGCAATCTCCGGAGACACCACAATGGTAAAAAATTTATACTTATACAGGGCGGCAATGTATACTGGTAGAAACCAGGTACACATCTACATTTTTCCATGTATCAGTAAGCTGTATGAAAGGATGCTACCAGTACACATAGACGACATGATTAAGAGATCAGATAGTTTATCTCGAAGGCAATTTGGTTTTTGTAAAGGAAAAAGCACGATTGATTCAATCAGAGTGTACTCGAAGTTTTGCGCAACAAAGTGGATAAACATCGCTGGGCTGCCCTGCTGTTATTTGATGTTAAGAATGCATTCAATACGCTTGAGGAAACGAGGTAATGAACGCAATGGAGGAGAGAGAGTGTCCTGGTTACCTGATGAATGTGGTGTCGGAGTACCTGTCCGAGAGAAGGATTATGGTGAAATGTTGGCACAGTGAATACGGAGATGATAAAATATCCTTAGCATTCGCGGATGTCCTCGTTGTACTGGTAGTGGCCTGGGATGAGCCAGATCTTAAATACCGATAGTATGATAGAAGCATTAACCTCTGTGCTGAAGTATTTATTATTTGTCTTCTTCTTCTCCTTCGTGCGACTAGGATTACTCCTGTTTGTCTGCCTCTTATTCTGTTTCAGTCATTGTTGACGGTACATTATTTTTCTACCTTTCTGGCCTTCCAACCGGTCTTCTGCTGTACGGTTTGTGGTTTTTATAGATGTTCGCTAATCTATCTGGTCCAACTCGGTTTACATGTTCGTTCCAGTTGATTTTCTTGTTTTTATCCACCTGTTTATATTTTGAATTTTGCATTGTTCGCGTATAATTCTGTTGGTTTGTGTGTTTCTTAATAATATGCCCGCTATTGATCTTAATACTTTTCGATATTGTTGATTTGTTGTTTCGTCTTTCTTGCATCGGTCCTTGCCTCCGCTGCAAATGTTAGGATTGGCCTTACTGTTGTCTTGTATACTTTTATTTTGCTTTCCGTCGTCAGATATTTGTTTCTTCATATGGTTTCTCAGAGGCAATCACTTACTCTTGCCGCTTTTGATGCTTGCCTTGTGGTCTCTGTTTTTATACTCCTGTCACTAGTGATCTTTACTACCTAGGTAATTGAATTTCATTACTTGTTCTAAAATTTTGTCTATTTCTAGTTTGCATCTACGCGGCTCTTTACTGATCCCTATATATTTATTTTTTTCCAATGATATTCTCATAGTATTTGTGAAATTATAAATTGGAGATTTGAGCTCATTTCAGCGCAGTCTATTATAAAAAGTTAGACCTAAGCAACAACTAGAGCGTAATTTTTAGTAGCTTGTAACGATGAGTCCAAGCCATCACCGTTAAACCAGCGTGCGCGCGAACTAACCCATGTAGTAGGAGTGTATCGACAGTAGAAAGGGCAAAACTAATTACCAAGCTCCGCTATATAAACCGCAACATTTCCTCATAGAGGAGGATCGACAGGTGCTGACTGAAGGTTCTCTTCTTCCCTACCCCGGCTTGTGGACGTGTTGAGTTCACAAGTTGTTCCGTTCCATACCGCCGTTACCCGAAGAGCGTGTTGAGCTCTTCACTACCCGTACTCTGAAGCAGTCGTGTTGAGACTGTCGAGGAGTGTCCTATTAACCCGAATCACTTAAGGAACGTGTTGAGTTCCTTTCCTTTCTTTGTACCTATCGTCCGCTGTTATTAAATCGATACAACGTTTACGTAAAATTTCAAATACACACTCGCTTGCCGATAAGACTAATTTCATATGACAAGGTCAAACTTAATTTGAATAAATAGGCCAGGTACTGAGAAGACTAAACCAAATTGTAAATATGTACATAAGATTTTTGTCAATTTAATTTAAGGAAGACAATAAAGTTTTATTTTTATTTTGAACTCTGTCTCTGACTGTCCAAAAGCTACCCGGATAGTGACTCCTACGAGAGGACGTCACAAGCTGTCACTAAAACTATAATTTTTACTTTACAACTTTTATTGTATTATCATCGTCGATCGAGAAGAATCGGACAAAGGGGCATTAGAAAACAATTCAATACTGATTTTTATATTGAATCTATCCAATTACAACCACTTGAACAATGAAATGAATCCATTTTTGCAGAAAAACGCTGAAACTATAAGTTACTCAATACAATAATGACAGGTAATATTTAAAGAGGAGCTTATATTTTATAGTTAGTTAAAAATCGCTTTTTACAATTTTATAGCTATATTATATTTTAAACATATAATATTTCTAATATAATATTTTACTGTTTTGTTATCATTTTTAAAAATAACTCTGTATTATATCTTATTATATTTATTATCTAATAACTCAATTTCCGCAAGAGTGTGCAAAAATATATTTTCGGAAAGGTGGAGATGTGGGATTTATTTTTATTGCGATTGCTTCTTACCGATTTAAATCGAATAGGCGCTAAAATATATATTGCGGATAGCTTCATCTTTAGGAAAGTAACAGGGGAAATTTATTTGGAAAATATTTAATTGTGTAATATCAAATCTTTTAATATCTACTAAAATATAGTAAGACCAACTTAAGACAGCACTAATGTGTGTACAGTGAATCAGCTTCGTTCAATAAAGTAACAAGAGAGTCCAGTACTTCCAAGCAATTGGGTAAAATTTGTTCTTGAGGTAGAATGTTTCCATATTTTTCCTTGTCACGAAGTTCATATACATACGCAAAAGGAATCTGATAATTTTTCT